AAGAATCATATCATTATGCAATGTGAAGTTAATTCTCTATAGTGCTCGTAACATATAAAACTCACTAAAATGATATGAAATTATAACATTTTTATATAAGTAAATTTTGTTTGAAATTAGTCAAAGACTAATTTATAAACCAAACATGGTGTTAGATGTGATAGGTTAAGGGGAAAACAATCAATGATACCATATTTAATCACTATTTTTCATGGATCCCTCAAAAGCGCTGATGTGTTATATAAGCACCGGAAATGATAGGATATAATCATTAAATTCCAACCAGTCCAATTATATGTGGGTTTGAGTTTGAGAGATAAGAAATGATATTTTTTTAGATCTCCCATCAGTCCAATTTTGTCATCCAAACACACCCCGAAGGTTGGATATAGTTCATTTTCAATTTAATAGGTACACTTAATTAGGTTTGAATTACATTTTTCAAAATAAAAATCAAAAATTTATTAGAGTTTCCCGTCATGATCGTTACATTCGGTCATTCCATCCAAATCCATTAATTTGTTTCAACATAATGAGTCATAAGATTTGCCCATAAGGGTATTTTATCTAACAAAAATTATCTCTTTTGATACGTCGTATTTTTCTCGCTTTGACTCGCTGTATTGTCAAATGCTCTTCTATACATTTTTTCTTTGGAATTTGTGATCTTATTTTTCTCAAAACAGATGAAACAGAATAAGGTTTTTCTACTCTGCACATAATTTTTTTTTTTATAAATATACTTTAAGGATTTTTTCTTAATAAATGTATGAACTAAATTGAAATTCAATTAAAACTTTATGGATTTCATTGCTGCAATTGAAACTTAAGAGCACCAAATAAAAATTAACTGCATACTTTAAGGTTGTAAATTATAATTTATCCTTTTTTTATATATACGGATAATAATGGTGAAAATTTGGCCAACTCCCAGGGATGAAATAATAAGTCATTTTGGTTTAGGAGTTCACCTAATTTTTTCAATTGGTTATGTTTTTTTTGGGTAAATTACACCAACGACTCCTGAGGTTTGTCGGTATTGCACTTTGGTCCTCAAAGTTCACATATTTTCTCCTTCCTCTCTATTTTCTTCTTTTTTTTCTCTCCTAAAGTATCTCTCTCCCTGCATCATCAGTCCCTCTCCACTCTCGGTCTCTCCCCTTCAAACACACAGACCTCTATTCGTTTTTACGTTTCAAACACTTGAAAACACACAACACACCCACCAAGGTCGCCCCATACATAAAGCCACTAAAACACGGTTTTTAGGCCCCAGTTAAAAAGATGCCCCAAATTTATAGGTTTATAAATAATTCAAAAAATTTAAACACATAAATTGAGTTCAGCAAAAAAATCCAACTAAAATTTCAACCAACAAAAATTTTTTAGTTAAATGATTTGGGCCCAAAAGTCCGAGCCAACGACATACAAAATTAAATTGGATAAAAAAAATAATAAAGTTGAAAATATGCAAAAACAGTGCACGGTAGAAAATAAACATGATAATGTATATTTACAATTCATATGGATTGTATTATTGAATAGTTGCACGCAGAAAAACATGAGTATGAAATAGTATATATGTAATGTTTAATATATCTTAGATGCCTAAATTATCAACAAAGAAAAATTATGATGCACCAGACAAAAGACAAAGATTTGACAGTGAGGAACACGCAAAAACTATGAACATTACAAGATTTGCAAACACGTCAATTCTTTGTATCAAAGGAGGCACAATAAGGTCCTAAAAATTTAGGGGCCAACTTAAATTTCAGCCCTTCATTTACCTTCATATTCTTATGTCATTTTGAATGGACCAAATTAAAGGTCTAATATACATTACAAGCCTATGCAAAGTCTTATAAAAAGCCATAAAATATAACACAAACTTCTAAAAAAAACTTAAAGGAACGACTTTTACCCTTAAAAATAATACTCCCTCTCAAATTCCTTTGATATCATCTGTAAGATTCTAATGTCATAATTGTACCAAATTTATTGTTTGATCTCAAAATCAATAAACGTTACAAATAAATCATACCACAATTCTGTTTAAAATGTCTAATAATTATAATTTTTTTATTATCTTCCTAAAATATTAATCGGAGTTCCATGCGAAATTCTCGCACCCCAAATGCACAATTATGTATGTCCTTCTCTCACTCAAATACATCAACATTTGCCAGTTGGCTCCTGGTTGCTTTGGCTCGCCTGTCCTATCCTATTAGCCTATGTAGCTATACCCAATCCGGAATAGAGTCAGACTTTTCCTTTTTTTTTTTTTTTTCATTCACGCCTAATCATTTACTTTATAGAATAAAGGTCATGTGAAAACTTATAAACACTAATACACACCCGAAAATTATCCGATGTGGGATAGCTCAGTCTCCCGATACCCCAACGTAATTACCATGACTGTAGGGCCTAACGGCCCAACATATGAGATTTCAACCCAACACCGAACACCCTTTAGAAAGAGGTTTTAGTTTTTTTAATTCATACCTGATCACTTACTCTACAAAAAAAGGGCTAAGTAAAGACTTATAAACACACACACACCCGATGCTATCCGATGTGGGATAGCCCGACTTTCCCTTGAGATATCTCCTTCGTTGCGGCGAACAAGCACGCCCACTTAATAAAGGTTACACATAAATAACACCACACAATCCCACAAATACCTGACCAGTCGTATCATCCATCGACAATCAAGCTCCAATTCACAACTGCTCAAAATTGTTCACCAGTCAAATTTGGTATCTCAATTCCAAAGTTGAATTGATGTAGAATTAGGTTTGGATTTTGATTCCAAAGTTGATAAAATTCTCTCTACATCTCTGTTTCGTTTGTTTCCATCTTGAATTATATGTTCTATTTTTGTGAAATTTATTTGGGAATTGATGCTTCTGGGTTCATGGGTCGCAGGGGAAAACCAAATGTTGGGGTGAGTTGATCATGGGCCTGTGTTGGCTTTTGAGTGGATGTGGAGATGAACGGGATTTAGATGAGCCGTTGAGAGAGAGAGAGAGAGAGAGAGAGATTTATTCAACGATGATCGCCAACATTCAAGGGTGAATCGGGAAGGATGGGACAGTGGAAGTGGGTGCTGTGTGCTGGCATTCTTCAAGGGAGTAAAGGGTGGGGAAGCGAGTATCATTGTCGCCTCCGGTGTAATGTTACGGTTTTTTTTAGCCTTCTCTCGTTTTCCATTTGTGTCATTTGTTTCGAAAGCGCAATAACAAAAATGCCCATTAATACTATCACGTGTCAAGCACATGTAATTTTTCAGACTATAGTTAATGCCCACAACCATATTGATCGAGTAATATTTGAAAATCAAATTGACGAAATTATAATTTAAAGACCCGAGAATGACCAACTATATAAACCTCAAGGAAAATTTGTACAATTTTCCCTTTTTGTTTACAATTTTTTATGATGTTATATATAATTCTTTAAGATAATTTACAACTTTTGGAATTTTGCAATATACCCTTTGAGGCATGTTTGGTTCAAGTACAAACAAAGACTGAGATTGAGTAATTAGTACCCATCCCATCCATAAAAAGATATTAACAAAAGTACTATTTAATCTTATCATTGTATAACAAGTTTGGATCAAGGTTGAAATAATATAAAAATCTATAATTATAATATTAAATTTATGTTTGGATTAAGTAATAGTATATGATATTAAATTAAAAATGACAAAACAAATATTGAAAGTATGAATTTACATAATGTATAACTTTTATATGAAGGTGTGACCGTAAGTTTACAAAGATAATAAAGTCATTATATTTTTAATAATTAACTTGTTAAAAATAATACCACCTACTATATAGTATACATTGCTACCAAATATTAGGTGTTACATGATAATAATAAACTGGATCAGAATTAATTAAATTAATATCGAATCGCTATAATTTCAGCCAAACTTAATACTATATTATTATGGGATTAAATTAATTCAATCTAAAAGCGGATATATAATAATTAAATGTATAATTAATGATGCATCAAGAATAAAATTAAAAAGAAAATATATTAGAGGGTTCTCTGTACAACAATATCCCAACGATCCGTGTGTACTTCTGGTTACTAGAAACAGTAAAAAGTCATTTTTATCTTTGCAAATTAACTTTGGCAGGTAAAACTCTTAAGCAAGGACAAAAGATGGTGGATAAGCATCTAAAGGGAAAGGCATAAAATCTAAAATATATTTTACTTTCTCATTTAAATATCATAAGGACAATAATGTAGACTTGAAAATTTTCTTCTGCTAGATTTCTCATCCCTTAATTGGGAGGAAAGAACCCAAGAAAAAACAAAAACCCCAAAGGAAAGCTAGAACTTGGATTACCATTTACCAATCATTCTGAATCGCTTTCCATGCTTCCCATGGCCTTCAATCCTCTTGGTCTCTGCATCACAAAAAACCAGGCCATACATATTAATAGATGGACATACACTACCCAAAACCCAGAAAATAGACACCACGAGAGAGAGAGAGTTCACATCAAAGAAAACCCAATCAGTACATGTAAAAGTATATACCTTCTTAGAACTCTTCTTCTCCCTGACTTCATACCTCTCTTGACCCATGTCTGTTAACCATGCTCCAGGACTCACCAACTGCTCCACATCAAAACTAATGTTAAGCCACAGAGAGACAGAGAACAGAGATTGAGAAAGACGCAGAAAGAATCAACGAAAACCCAGATCAAAAAATCATCTTTTCTTTTGTAATTTGGGATATATACCTCTGCGAGAGAGAGAGAGAGAGAGAGAAAGGATTAGTTTTATGTATAAAGGTATCGGAAGGACTTACAAGCAAAGTTCTTTGGATGATTTTGGCCCTTTTCTTAGGCCTCTGTGGAAGCTTACACCCTTTCATAGCCATAAAATCCTCCTCTTTCTCTTTGCTTGACAAAGCAATATACAGCTTTGGCCAAACAACCCCTCTTTTCTCATCCCCAACTCCACCTACGACGCCGTCCGCCGGATCTTGCCCAATCTCCTCCAACCCAACCACCGACCCTCTCGTCGTATAAAATCTCTCCTTCTCCGGAGACACCGATGCCGAAGACTTCCGATTCTCCGACTGAAGCGCCGCCGTTTCAGAATTCCTGCAACCAAACAGACCCACATCGGAAATTCTTTTCTTTTGTAAATTTTCTGGGAAAAATTGGGAGAAAAAAAATATGGGATTTTCTTCACTTTTATGATACCTGGTGAGACGAGTGGGTGGTTGAGGAAAAGAGGTCTGTTTCTGGGAAAGAGTGAGGAAGCGCGATGAGATTTTCCGGCGAAGTCTACCATTCTTTGATGGGTCTGAGAAATCTGGGTCTCTGAATCTCACGCATCTGACTCTCTTGCTATTACCCCACTGTAAGAACAAATCTGTTTCTGGTGATTTACATGCTCTCTGGTTCCTCTCTTCCGTCTCCATATCTGCCAAGGAAGACAACAAAATTAGAGATATGTCAGAGACCCATTTGGGTTGTCTTCAACAACGAGAGAGAGAGAGAGAGAGATTTGAGTTCAATAACCTCAAGATCTGCGCTTTGTACGGGGAAATTAGAGCAAATTCTTCACGGAAAACCCTGCAAACCCAAAGCATGAAGAATTACAGATATTAACAGAGAAAGAGAGGTCTTTGGGCCACAAGGAAGCTGTAAATGCAGGCACAAAGATGAAGAACATAGAAGAAAGACAAGACATCTCGCAATGGGAGAGTTTTATGTCACAGATAAAGCAAATACACAGCAAAAGGATGAGACCTCTTTGACAAAAACGAGAAGTTTCTTTACAAGAAAACTCATATATCAAACTCTCTCTCTCTCTCTCTCTCTCTCTCGCTCTGTGAATGTCTTTTGATTTGAAGAATTGAAGGGTGGGGGGGGTGTTTTCTGTGAAGGACTTATATCTCTGTTTTGTCAGTTTCATCATCTTCTTCTTCTTCATCTCTAATCTCATGGGCCAGCACAGCCCGGAAGCCCATACCCTAGGAACTGGTTTCCTTAAATTGGGTTTGGGCTTCGGATCAACCCAACTTATGTTTTGTGTTTTTTATTGGGGAATTGCATTTTATATCCTAAAAGATCTCAATATTCTCACTTTGCTCTTTTAAATATTTTATATTTTATATTACACCCTCAATATATTAAAAGTATGATAATATTACCCTTCTATTATCTTTCCATTAGTTTTTCTATTAGTATCAATAGTTTAGCTTTTGATAGAAAAAATAACAGAAGTTAACAAAATGACAACATTGAAATACTTTTGATACATTGTGGTTACAATGTGAAAATTTTAATTTTTGAAGGTGTAAAATAAAAATTTAAAATCTTTTTTTTTTATTATTATGATATCAATGAATTGAACTAGTAATATTTTTTTTATATTTGAGTCCAAATTTGATTTGCATGTTCAACAAGTTTTATTTTCACACTACTCATGAAAATATAAAAATAAAATTTTATTTGATTTGAATAACTCAATTAGTTCTCTATAATATTAAATTAATACGAATTCTAGTTCAATTTTATCGAATAAGCTTTCGATTTCATCGTGTGCTTATATATTCAATTTGGATTACATCACAATTAAATTGGGTTTTGATAAATCCAAAACTAATCAATGAAATACGACGTAAATAGTTTTGAATTCGGATTCAAATTTTGTTATTGTAAATAATGAGGACGTAGTTGCCTATCTTAGAACATCCTCCAATGGCCAGAGACTATGCAATGAGAAGGAAGCATTAGAACTTCAAGGGATACTTCAAATGGTAAGAGGGGTGGTTGTAAAATTAGAAGTTTTGAATTTGAATCTTAACATTTTCTTAGGGTCAAGTTGATGACGGATTTACCTCTTATTAATACCCGAGGAAAAAATTACTCAAGATGTGCATAAACTGATCGAAACACTCTAAACTGTTAAACCGAAAAAGAAAAATAGAAGGAAACATTTAGATCCATACCACATAAATTAGACAATTCGTGGTGTCCATACCAATTAAAGTATTAGAAATACACCCAGGGACATTTGTTATGGTTGATCAAAATGCACAGCTAACTCATCCAAAGATTCTGGTTGAAACCAAAAGACCCAAACGTCTCCTACCTGCAAGCATTAGAGACCAATGAATTTAGATATTGTATGGATCAACAATATCTTTATCTAGGTCATAGGTTGGTGTGATACTATAATACGCATTGCGATGTGTGTAGACTTTGTTGGTGCATATTTTAAGTTACGATTTATTTTAAAACTATTGTCTTATTTGTTTTAACAATCCAAAAATTCATTTAAAATTCGATCCGAACAACTAAAATATAATAAATTATAGGGGTTTAGGGAGACCGGTATCTCCTAAAAAATTTAATAGAATAAAAGTACATTTTTTTAAATAATTGGGATTCAAGTACATATGTTAAAAAAAAAGTCATAAAAGCCTTTTTACCCCTACCATAATACTTAATTGAATGTGAGACTTTCAAAATTCATTTTGATATTTGTGTATCATTTGAATTTTAAATTTTCATATATATATATACACACACACACACGTAATACAGTGACATCAAACAATGACACGCTCAACAAAAAAATAGTAACATCAAATAGTAACACACTTAACAAAAAAATAATAACATCAAATAGTAACACAAATATTTTTGTTGAGCGTATCATTGTTTGATGTTACTATTTTTTTGTTGAACGTGTCACTGTATTACGTGTGTGTGTGTGTGTGTGTGAAATTTTAAAATTCAAATGATACACAAATATCAAAAGAAATCTTGAAAGTCTCACATTCTAATTTTGAAAGTCTCACATTCAAATAGGTATGCACTATTTATGGTATGGGTAATTATGGACTACATTTTAGAAAGAATTTAAAAGTATTTTAAAATGTGTACTTATTGACAACTATTTGATGAAAAAGATGACTTAAAAGAGGATAAGTTCAGAGGTGGTACTTAAAGTCATATAAGTTTTAGAAAAAGTACTCACATCTCATTATCCCTAAATTATATCTAAATTTCAACTAAATTTCTTTAAATAATCTTTTTTTTTTAATATTTATGTAAAAATATATAATAATTTGAATTGGATCATAATTGGATTGGATACAGGTATATCCAAGTCCCAATCCGTGACATATAAATTAGAATTCGGGTTTTGATTATTAATAAAAAATGTCAATTCATATCCAATTAATCGGATTCGAATTCATATCAGAATCTAATTTATTAACAGACGTACCTGACATGGATGTGGTTCTCAACATGTGCTAATGTTTAATTCTTTGAGCTTACCGGGTTTATACCAGAAACATAATACATTACCTTGCTAGAAAACCAATGTGCAACATATGACTTCTTTTGTCATTCAAAACAACTACGGAATGTATGGTTGTAGGGGTGTCTTGTTGATCTCATCCTTGCACCAAGGAACCTTGTAATATCAGCCAGAACTTTGCCAATACCAAATGGAATACTGGGGACCCATGTCATTGAATATTTCTTAAAACCATCTTCAAGTCTCTATGGATCTTTTTTGTTTTTTTGCAACAAGAATTCTCAACAAATTATGGTTCAATCAAAAGTTATAACTAGGGGTGTTCAACTATTACACGACACATTAAACGACACGAATACAATATGAAATTAAAAAGTTTAAATGTTTCGTAAACTAGTAGATCCGACAATGGAGTTATGTCTGCGACTCAGTGGAGTCCAAAACAATTAGATCAATTTCAAATTTTTGGGATCGTTGAATCATAATTTGACCCGTTTGACTCGTAATATAACCTGATTGCATCATAATATTGAATATTTACTCCTTGATGTGGTCCTTATTTCTCATTGGGTCAGTCACCAACCGGTTTTTATCCTTACGTTAACCACCTCAAACCTTGATACCTTTAGCAGAAAGAAAAAAGAATTATTGTCTATGAGGTAGAGTTGTACAAGACTTTGTACTCTAATTAATGATAATTGAATATAAGGTTAGATCTGCAAATTGACCACTCAACAACTCAGTTAGTCCTATTTTAATTGAATTTGACATTAAAGTTTTATGACACTTCACCTCTCAATAGCTCAAATATAACCATATTAACTCTAAAAGGTAGCTCAAAAGATATTAAAGACGAATTATAAATTCAAACGTCTTGGTTAAATTCCGACATGAATAGTTTACCTTTGATCAAAACCAAGAAGAGATTAATCGAGGTGTGCGTAAGTTCGTCCATACACCATTGGCCGTTAAATTAAAAAAAAAAAAAAAATAAGAAGACATAATCTATTGTAGCATTGAATTAGAGTGCTACCGTTACTGATTCCATCTAAATTGAAGAAAACTATAGCACATACCCCTAATTCGAGAATGAAACTATTATACTCTGCATGAAAAGACAAAAATAACCATCTCCTTTCCATCATATTCTCCTTATGCACCAGTCCCCACTCTAGTGGAGACCCCACCCCACCCCACCCCCAAAATTCAGAACAAAACATGCACAGAGACTCCAATCTTCCAAAACAAGATACATACTGCCGTGAGGTGTTGCTCTTGTTTGCCTATTTTATCACTTATTAAATTGACTATTAAGTCAAAATTAGCAAAAATGATTGCTTCAGGTAATCAAAACAGCTAAGCACCCCCGACAATTCCCCCAAATAATTCAAATTTTTTAACCACAAAAAATTTGCAATTACACATTAAAAATGTATTCTCCTTGAAAAGTCAAAATTGCCCTTTTCGAAATAACTTATATTCCCAGAACATGGAGTAAATATTTATTATAACGGGTATACACGTCAATATTGTTATGTGATATAACCGTCCAAAAACAACTCAATAAGTGGACAAAGTCGATCTCACTTTTTTACATGTAGTTGTCACTATCTCGAGAAAATATTGTGTGTCAACGTCCAATAAATAAGACAACACGTGGGAAAGTGAATCTCACATGAATAATTATTTTACTGTATATCATAAATGATAGTTATTTAATTATATAAGATCCACATATCCACATGTTATCTTATTAATGAATAATGGTACTACTATATCAGCATGATGACATAGTGTAAATATTACACCTAATATTTATTCCAGTATCTCATATGGATGGTAATTATTTAAAAGTGACGGCCAAATTAGGTCTAAAATTATAGACTAAACCCAACTCAGAAATACAAGTCAACAAAGACCAAGTCATCGCCTTGAAAAATCTAGTCTACTAGTGATGTACGTGAGATTTACATCTTAGGAAGGAAATTAGGATATGTATTGCAAGTCTCAATCATCTTATCCGGTACGTTAACATCACAGAGCCACCTACTCTCGTCACAAGGGGGACGCCTCAATCAGGACCTCTCGTGATGACACTTCCATCAAAACTCACTCTGGAGCGCCATAAAGATTATATACTCTCCTATAAATTGTAAATCTCACCTACACATGGAGGGTATTAGACACACATCTCAGCACACTACGCCTCTTGAATAATAAGATTCTCCGGTCACTATAATAATTATTAGTGGAATAGATCACCTAGACCGAACCACTTAATTTTTGTGTTTATTTGTGTCAAGTCTTCTTATTTCATCCTTAATTGATTTTGCATAAATTCATTTTTGTGCATTATCAAAAAACAGTGAAATTTACTTTACCTATCTTTAGATTATCCTTAAACAATTACACCACGTAGCATTACTAAATTAGTGTAACAGTTACGATAAATATTTACTAAATTAGTGTAACAGTTACGATAAATATTTTCTCCAGAACATGATAGGGGCAAGATTGTCTTTACACTGTACTCTTGTTTTTCAAATTAAGCCGACCCACTAAAGCGGTAGCTAGGAACACAGACAGATAAAATGGACGGACCCCGCAAAAATGACCACAAAACCGTTGGCAATAGCTGGATGGCACCGAAAGGCTGTCAACAACCGGCTGGCCGGGCACGCTGTGAACAACAAGCTCGGCGCTGGTCCGGTAACGGTCTCTTCGGGCAGCCTGCCCGTGAAACACCCTTATATACCCACCACCATTCATCTCCTCTCACTCGTTGTCTCCATTTTTATGCTCTTTCTGGTTCTTATTCTCTTGAATTTTTTCTAGTAATAGTCTCTGCAATTCAAGC